CCGAGGATCACGCGGGTACTCAACCCCCTCCACCACAATAAGGCGGCGGTTCAAGGATGGGTATATATATATATATATATACACACTAATAACAGACTAAAAAATACAATAACTATTTCAGTTATTTAAGGCTCTGCAGGAGCTATTACAAGACAGGCGTGTCTTCCTGGTGTTTACCTTTGCAGCATAGCTCCACATGTCAATGCGGTCTTGCAGTCTCTTCTTACACTCAGGCTGCAGACGGACTCTCTTGTCCTGCAACGCCTCCATCAGACACGACATCTCTGCATGGTGACAGGACACATTTAGACATTCAAACACACTATGCAGAATCACACAGTATCTAGCAAAAGACAAGGTAAACTAATTTCCCAGTCTGTCAGTCAATTTTAATACGCGATTAGTTTTCATGTATTTTGTATGAGTCCAAAACCTGATGTATCTTTATGAGTCTGAAAAAAACTCTGTGCAAATATAAAATGCAGTGTGAAAGCACCCACGTCGTCCTCTGCCGGGTGTGATGGCAGCACAGTGGTGTTTGATGTCCAGAGCGCAGGCTGTGTGGAGGACGGGGTCCACAAAAATATCAGCCTTACTCTCCTTCAGCATGTTCAGGACTTCCTGCAAACAACAAGAACAAACATGGGAAGAGGAGAGAGCGAACAAAGCTGAGTTGCCGCACCGACACTTAATCGATTCAGACCTTAAAGGGTTAGCAGGTTATTTTTGTCCAGTCTAAATTTGGTGAAACCTTATTAAATCTTTTATTTTTAAACAACCTTTATTAACCCAGAGATCTAGTTTTCAAGGGAATCTCGGAACAAGAGGAAGGACAGGAGGCAAAAGGAGCAAAAAAAAAAAAAGGCAAATTTTGTGAATTTGAGAATTTGTGACTTAGAACTATGGTTCAGCCACAGTGTCTGAGGACTTTCAATGAACGTCAAGATAAAATCATATTCAACAATAGTTTTGGACAAATGAGTGCATTCAACAGAACAATGAGCAAATTATTTGTACATTTTTACAGGCCTCCTGTTTGATCTTCAGCAGGTTGACTTTCAGACACTCTTCCACCTGACCGGTCTGCTCCTGAGCTGCTGCCTCTTCAGCACACAGTCTGGAGATCTGCAGGAGGAGGACAGGAGAGGAAAGGTGGAGCATGTAGGGAAGATGAAGAAAAAGGAAAATTACTGTGAGCGACTTAAAAACTGAGGAAAAGAAGAAGTTTGATGTAAAGGCGGCCAGTTTGTGTGTGTGTGTGTGTGTGTGTGTGTGTGTGTGTCTACCTCATCTGAGCAGTGCATCTGTAGCTGTGGGTCCAGTCTGTAGTCGAGTGCCGACTCCTGGAGGATCACTCTGATCTGGTCCTCACAGTCTGACGACAGCCTCTGAACCAGACCCCGGCCAAAAAACACACAGTAACAACAATCACCAGGATGTTTCAGGTTCCCAGCACCAATAAGAGACACACAGTATTGTGCAAAAGGTTTAAGCCTTTCAGATGTTTAGATTCTTATCCATCACTCAATACCCTCTGACTGGTCCCAAACTCATTCTGCAGTATAACAAGTCCAATCATACAGAGTCATAATAAAGAATCATCCTCAGTGATGAGAAGAACAAGGAGTCATACAACTGGTTGTGTTGTGGCCCCACAGAGCCCTGATCTCAACACCATGAAGCCATCTGGGATTACATGAAGAAACCGACTACCTCCACTGAAGAACTGTGGCAGCCTATCTGACAAGTACCTACTGTGACTGTGCAGAAGTGTAGCAACTGATAAAAAAAAAAAAATATTCATGGTATTATTACTGAAAGAGTCCTCACTTTACCTTTAGTGCTTAAAACGTTTGCATAGTATGTAATATTTAAAAAGTACAAGGAAGGAATGTCTGAAAAAGACTGGAAAGAATGTACCTGTGATTTTAACATTTAAATAAAACATTTTAATTAAAATTTAGAAAGTCCAATATTCAGTGTACCTGTGCCTTCAGTGGTAAGAGCTGAGTGATGTGTAGTTGTTTAAGGTTAACCCACATTGTTCGGTTCCATTTGTATTTATTGATGGCTTTTTATCCTTTCACCATATTGTCTTTAGCTTTAATTTGCAGTTTTGCAAGTTTTGATGCCCCCACCACCAGAGGTGATGTATTCATGAACTGACCTGGTCAGTGTATTTGAGTTTGAGGCAAGCGACGACCTGACCCTCCAGCTCAGTGTCCTCACTCGCCTTGTTCAGGATGGACTGGCAGAACTTTGGGATGTCGGCTCGACAAGCTTTCCTCAGGACTGGGTTCAGTCTGTAGTCTGATGGAGGACGAGGACAGAGACGTGTCAGTGAACAATTCAGAACAGGTTCAGATTCACAAAATCTTGGTTTATATCTGCAAAGTTCAGACTTTTTACTGTGTGTGTGTTTCCAAGCGTGTACCTGTGTTCTGTGTGATCTGTCGCTTTGTGATCATCTGTTTACACTTAGGATCCATTAGCTCGCTGTTTTTGTTCTGTTTCAGACACTGAAGAACGTTTCTAGTGTCAGCCTCGGTACAGAACCGCTGTAAGAGAGATTAAAAGATCATTACGATTTATTACAACAGCTGAGATGTTCAAAAACAGGGACATCATAACAAGGAAGACACAAGCCAACAGTTAACCCAGAGGTAAAACTGAAAGTAGGTGCATTGAAAATGTAGCTAATAATTTTACTAATTATTACGAATTACAAAGACTTACATCGAGTACACAGTTATGACAAGGGCCATAGGTTAAACTTAGTAGTCGACCGGTGTTAAAGTAAATGGAGAACATGAACGAAGGAGTTAATGTGGGATTTGTTTGGCCGTAGAGAATAATGACGCTGGATATTTGACCAACTTGGATGTGAATCCCAAAAGAAACGGCCATCAGATCCCACAAGTCGTTCTGTACAATGTGATGTTTGTTTACAGCGGACAAACTGGGTAATACATGTACTTTTCACTTTCATTTTGACTAACCTGGTTTGTTCACGACCTGTCTGAACATCTC